GTAGTATTACTCTTCCCTTCCCTCCTACTGCTTCTGCCATGCACTCTTGGAGACCAGTTTTGTTATTTGTCCTGTGATGAGCACAGGAGGAGCAGTGCAATGCTGCAGTAACAGTGAACTGAGAGGTGGTGTGGCCTTCTCACGTTGCTGGAATGGGGAGAAGGGGGGGCTCTGCCAGCGCTTTGGGTAATCCGTGTGTGCATCGGTTCTGGACTGAGGACACAGCTGGGTCCTGTCCTACACCTATTCTCCACATGACTTTATTTTTCAGGGAGTTGTTTGTTTGGGGTGGGGGGAAAGGGGAGAGATCTGGCTCCCCCCACCCCCCCTCTATTTAGGAACAGGCACAGAAACTTAATCTAGCAGTGYGTGACCTTTGTGGCCATGACCTAGGGACTGGGATGTGAGCAGGCTTGAGCTGAACAATAAACTCCTGCCTGTGCCTGCAAGAACAGGCAASTTTGATGCTGTGCCTGAGCCCCATCAGCCCAGCTGGCACAAATGCCCCTCACTGTTGTGCCCTGCACATCCAGGAACTTCCCAGCRTTATTCTCTGGGATCGTGCCCCCTTTTTTGGGCAGAGCTGATGTGCAGCCTGCTGGGTGCTCCTGACAAGCAACTATGGGAGACTGACTGCAGGAGAACTGCCCTTGTACCCCTGCCAAGTTTGGGGGTTCTGCTGTAGTCTTGTGTCCACAAAGGAATTTCTGGGGAGTCACTAGTTCATCTTGAAGCTGGCTACCTCCTGCAGTTCTCTGGTGGCCAGSTCCCCTCCCCACTGAGAGCACCCAGGGGTATTGTGCATTTGTGCTTTTCTCCTCAGTGTGTCTAAGGTAACAGTGTCATGATGGAGATCAGGCCAGCACTGTGTATTTCTTTTTGCCCAAGCATGCTAACTTTTTTGCTCTCATTTTAAATCTAGGTTGTTTTTACCTTTTTTTGTTTTGTTTGTTTGACTAAGATGAGGCCAAAATGAGGCCTTATTGTTGGCTCTGTAGTATTTACCCAAGACCTTCCACTGCCATGTGCTATGTAATCTGCAGATTTTCAAAATAAGAATATGGCTCTTACCACTCTTCATTCTAAATTCAGAAGTGATGTTTCCCATCATAGTTTTGTGGGTGGCAAAAGGCAACTGAACAGCTTAAGCTTGATTTTTCCTTTGCTTTGAATGGCTGGGTGACTCTTTTACCCAGTGGATGCTGTTACCTTTGCAACAGGAGTGAACTGAGCTTTTGCTTCTGGTGTTGGCTGTTGTGAAGGACCAGTAACAGATTTAACTTGCTTCTGGTCTTCTGTTCATATGGTCACCATTTTCCTTTCAGCTGCTCTGCTTGACTGAGGCCCCAAATCCCCGCTGTATGTTTTTAAAGTATATCAGATTCATATGACTTAACTYGATACCTTGTCTTGGTTTTCATTCTCTCTCAACTTCTCAGTTGTTTAAGTGGAGTTATTCAGCAGCATGTAATAAACATTCCCTGTAATTTCAGCAGAAAAATTACAGAACTGCATGTGCAAGTGAACACTGTGTACGGATTTAGACAACCGCAGTGTAAGGATTTATGGAATCCTCTAGTTGAGGAAGATGAAGTGTTTGAACAATGCATTTCAGAGCTAAGGCAGTTTCTAACTTTGAAAAATGGGAAATGAGGGTTTRGTGTTTGAACAGAAGCAAGACATAAGTCTGTACCAGTTTCCCTGCAGCAAAACTTAATTTAAAAAAAAAAAAAAGGGCATGTTTTAATAAAATCTGACATGTGTGCACGAACACACACATACTCCTTTGAGAAATTAATCCATGTACCACTTCAGCTGTTGTGCTTCTAGGAGCTTAAAATGTCACTTTATGCAGCTCTGGCAATCCAAGGGAATCACTTGTCCTGTCCTTCCCCTTGCTTTTGAGGGAGAAGGGAAAGGGGGGATGTAATGTGCCATATCACGAGCTGTTAGCTGGAGTCGGGAGTGGCTGGATGACAGCTGGGAGAAGACAGGCATATCAAACCTTTGTCCAATCTTTGTTCTGTTCCTGTTCCTTTCTGTGAGGTAGGCTTCAGATATGTGGTGATGAAAAAGTTATTCATAGTATGAAACCTCATTCCATTGTACTCTTCGGTGGTAATACAGGTTTTCTGTTATTACACTCTCAGAAAAACAGTGTCTGTACTTAAGAGCAAGGCTTGAATGCAGAACTTSCTTGTATTGGAGTGTTGTGCTCCTTCACTTGCATCTTTGGAAACAAAACCTAGGACAGCTGATTTCTGCTCCCCTCTAAGAAAACACGGGTCCATGGACGGTGCGATTTCTGTGTGCTGCTTCCCTCTACTGGATGGAATGGGAGCGGCTACGGCTGATGAATGGATGCAGCTCTCTGGGCTAAWGTCTTGGTGTAAGATTGATTTGCATATAGGGTTTGTGAGTGCTTTGTGAACAGAAAAGGGGTTTATTTAGTGGTTACCCACAGGTTACTGTGGTATTCAGGCACTCTGATAAAGTTCCAGTCTTGTTTTCTAGCTCCAGCTTCTCAAAGTATCACTAGCATGGAAAGCACTGTCATTGCTTTGTTGTTGGGAGTGGCAGGAGGGAGTTTTGCCTAATATTGTTGCAGCCCTGAACGAAAGGAATTTGCGTATTTCAAAAGAGAGGATGGTTCTCGGCGTGCATGGTTTGTTTTCCCCTTGTGAGCAGTGGGTGTGCTGGTGTCTCTAGTGTATTGATTATTGAATGGCCCACTTAAGGGAATGTGGTGTTTGTATTTGCAGGAAAAGTCTTCACCTGAAACTTGCCATAGATGCCATCTCCAAACTGTAAGTGTTGGCAGATGGCTTCCGCTCTTAGGAGGAGCTGATGTGGACACTCTTCCTAGTATTGTATTGCAAAGAAAACAATGACACTTCCATCCAACTGTTAGGGCATGATTTGGAGTTTACTGGGAAGGATCRCTCTTCCTCTGTGGAGAAACTATTGTGAAATCTTTACCTATGGCTACTGCCTCCAGCCATCTTCTTTACAGTTGAACTTTTGGACTTTTTTTTTTTTTATTTTTTACAACCTGGCTCTGTTTTCTTTTTAATTCTTCTTTACATAGTGAGAGATTTCCTTTTTTTTCCTTCCTCTAGGTACTGCATTTGTACTGTGATACCTGTTCTGTCCCCATATGTCGAGAATGTACCATGGGACGACATGTGGGTCACACCTTTATCTACCTCCAAGATGCCCTACAGGACTCCAGGACTCTCACCATTCAGCTCCTGGCAGATGCTCAGCAAGGACGACAGGCTATTCAAGTAAGATACTCCCAATTTGAGTACTTTTATTTCCCCCTCCTTCTTTCCCCCCTGCTTCTCCCCCCGCACAGCTTGTCTGTTACAGGGCAAGGTGTCAAGGCAAAAAGCTCTCTGCTTCTGCTGTCAGTCTTCTCACCCCTTCTGTTTTCTCAGATCTCTGACAGAAGTGGCAGTGGAGCTGAAAATAAAGTGCTGTTACATGAGTTTTGCATTCTTGCAGCATAATCCTGTCATGTAAATCACAATATAWATGAAGCTCTCTACAAATGCACTTGAGTGTGAAGCATTTTGAAGAAAGCTCAGATCTTGTATAGCAATGCCAAACCTGGTTTTGTTTTTACAACTGAGGCTTTCTTTGAGCATTTTCCTGCCTGAATACCATCTAGCACTATACCTACTTTTGACTCTTGTTATGTCTGCAGTGTTGCCACCAAATAYAAAATACTAATCAGCTGCTGGATTAGTGTGAAATTTCTTAACCTCCTGCATAAGGATCTTGAGGCAAGATGAGGCAAGATAGAGACTATCTTCATGTGGGGGTTGCTCTGCACACACAGATGCATGCTCTGCTCACTACTGTGTTCTACCTCAGCTGTGTTTTATAGTGCAAATATAAACACCTGGCAAGGCCTGGAAAGAAGGGAGCACAGGGTTTCAAACAAGAGAAGGAATTTTCATAGGGAGTTAAAACTGCAGTGGTATGTAGATGCTTTTGCTTAGTAATACCTAGTGGTAAATTTGATGTGATATTAGCAGTGGTTTTGTCCATAGGGAGACTTTGGATGGGGAGAACATAGTGGGAAGCTTAACTCCACACCTGCTGTCATTTAGTTTTGTTTGCATCATGTTCTAAATTAGAGTTGGGTATTACAAAACTTAACACCATGTGCTTTAACTACTAACTCTT